GAAAATTTTTTTGGGCAGATTAGAGCTCATGGTGGTTTCAATACCAATCCGGATTGCACCCACTTTGTCTCAGCCTATAAAACGTTGTTGATCAATAACATCTCATCTGGAAAATCATTATACACAAACTGCGCCACTGATGATGATGCAATGTTAGGAACTTTGACAAATTTGGTACAACGTAACAGACAGACAGTCTCTAACAATATCGATTCCGAGGTAATTGTGATTAATTGTGAATTAATAGACTCTATCCCATAAGAAAATCTTATGCAAACCAATAGTGTGTCATACATCGCTGGTGCAATTTGTCGCTGCCTGTTGCCTAAATTGCAGTGTGTTGACTGCGACCTTGTAAAGATGCATTGTTGTCTACAGATGTTCAACCGTTTCACACGTTAATTGCTAATCGAGAATATAATTTAGAAAAACAAACACTCTATTATCCTTCAAAAAACATTAGTTCATTAGTATGGGAGAGTATTTACTTAATCGATAAATTTTTGCCACAAATTTGCTATGTTTACGTTTACCCAGAATTACTCTCAATTTTGCAGAAAAATACTAATACAGCTTGGTTTACCTGCTCGCGACACAAGAAAAATTTTTTAACTGCTTTTTTCCTTTACGTTATAAAAATGCAAGGTAGACAATGGTGCATCAATTTTAATAGAAGAATACACAATGTTGATTCGAGACCAAAGGCAGCAGAAACGGAAAACTTGATCCAAAGTAAAGTCACCAAAGGTTTAAGTTATAGATCAACTAGATTGCGCAGTTCTTAATTTCTATTTAATTATTTTTATATTTGTTGTTTATTTTATTGTTATCAAGTTTGCCATTTCGTTGATTATAGTACTTGATTTTGTTATCTCAAGATTGTCGTAAAACTCAATGATAAATGTTTTCACTCGAAGCGACACAACTTTTTCATTTTATTTTTTGTTCGACTTTGAGAGTAGTAGAGTCTTTGCAGTTCCATTGTTGCTGCCCATTCCGTCCCTAGAGTTTTCCTTTTGTGTTCTATAGGTTTATGTTGATTGTTGTGATTAGTTTAGTACTATTTAATTATAATTTTTATTAGCTCGACTTGACTTATGTAATTTATTAATTATTAATTTAAATGGTATGTAAGCATACATAGGTTAAGGATAAGTCTAAATTGTAAATATATATAGAATAGCTACAAAGTAAGTCGGTAGCTTTTAATGTCTCCTTATTCTCTTGTATAAATGATAGCCAGGCAAATATACTAGACCTCACTATAAAGACTCAGCCTTGTAAATATGTATAGAATCACAAAGTAAGTAGGTAGTTATTAATGTACTCTTATTCTCTTGTATTAATGATAGCTAGGCAAACATAGAAGACCAGACTTTGAAGTCTTAATATTGTAAATATGTATACAATAGTTACTAAGTCACAAAGCAAGTCGGTAGTTTTTAACGTTCTCTTATTCTCTTGTATAAATGATAGGCAAACATACTAGATCTGACTTTAGAGTCTTAAGTTTTAACTGTATATAGAATAATTACTGAGTTCCAAAGTGGGTAGGTACTTTTTAACGTCCTCTTATTATATTGTATAAATGATAGCCAGGCAAACATACTAGATCTGAGTTTAAAGTCTTAAGTTTTACCTGTATATAGAATAGTTACCGAGTTTCAAAGTGGGTAGGTAGTTTTTAACGTCCTCTTATTATCTTGTATAAATGATAGCCAGGCACACATACTAGATCTGACTTTAAAGTCTTAAGTTTTAACTGTGTATAGAATAGTTACTGAGTTTCAAAGTGGGTAGGTAGTTTTTAACGTCCTCTTATTCTCTTGTATAAATGATAGTCACGGAAACATACTAGATCTGACTTTAAAGTCTTAAGTTTTAACTGTATATAGAATAGTTTATTGAGTTCCAAAGTGGGTGGGTAGATTTTAACGTCCTCTTATTCTCTTGTATAAATGATAGTCAGGCAAACATACTAGATCTGACTTTAAACTCTTTAAGCTTTAACTGTGTATAGAATAGTTACTGATTTCCAAAGTGGGTAGGTTGTTAATGTCCTCTTATTCTCTTGTGTTTTGATACGCAAACAAACATACTAGACCTACAGAGGTAAACAATTAACTAATTAATTGTAACTGTAAACAGTTACAGTCTAAATTGAAAATGTGTATAGAATAGTTACTGAGTTACAAAATGGGTAGGTACCTAGTTTAAATGTCCTCTTATTATCTTGTATAATGATAGCCAGGTAAACATACTAGACCTCACTTTAAAGACTAAAAATTGTAAATATGTATAGAATCACAAAATAGGTAGTTTTAATGTAATCTTATTCTCTTGTATAAATGAATGCCAGCCAAATATACTAGACATCACTTTAAGAAGTAAAAATTGTAAATATGTGCAAAATCACAAATTAAGTAGGTAGTTTTTAATGTCCTCTTTTTCTCTTGTATTAATGATAGCTAGGCAAACATACAAGACCAGATTTTCAAGTCTAAATTGTAAATATGTATAGAATAATTACTGAGGCACGACGTAAGTAGATAGTTTTTAACGTCCTCTCAGTCTGTTATATAAATGATGATGGCCTGGCAAATATACTAGACCTCACTTTTAAGTTTAAAAATTGTCAATATGTATAGAATCAAAAAAGAAGTAGGTAATTTTAATGTCCTCTTATTCTCTCGTATTAATGATACCTAGGCAAACATACAAGACCAGACTTTCATGTCTACATTGTAAATATTATATAGAATAGTTACGGGGTGGGAGGTAGATTTTGATGTCCTTTTATTCTCTTGTGCGTTTCATATTTCGACAAACATACTAGAACAAGTTTGCCATTTCGTAATTATAGTACTTGATTTTGTTATGTCATGTTTATTGTAAAATTCAATGGCAAATTTTTTCAGTCGATGCGGCACAATTTCTTTATTTTACTTATTTGTTCGATTTTGATTAGCAATTCTTTTAGATCTAGAGTGTTTGCAGTTCCATTGTGGCCGCCCATTCCGTCTTTAGAATTTTCTGTTTACATTCTATACGTTTATGTTGATTGTTGTGATTAGTTAGGTACTATTTAATTGTAATTGTTATTAGCTCTACTCGACTTATGTAATTTATTGGTTATCATTTAAATGATATGTAAGCATATATAGGTTCAGGCTAAGTCTAAATTGTAAATATGTATAGAATGGCTACAAAGTAAGTAGGTAGCTTTTAATGTCCTCTTATTTTCTTGTATAAATGATAGCCAGGCAAACATACTAAATCTGACTTTCAAGTCTTAAGTTTGAACTGTATATAAAATAATTACTGAGTTCCAAAGTGGGTAGGTAGTTTTTAACGTCCTCTTATTATCTTGTATAAATGATAGCCAGGCAAACATACTAGATCTGACGTTAAAGTCTTTAAGTTTTAACTGTGTATAGAATAGTTACTAATTTCC